CCAAAATATTTCTATTTCTGCCAATAAATCAATACATTTTTGAAGAAAACTTAATAATACTAAAATCTTGGATAAAAGTCCTCTTCATTAATGCTTTTCATTAAAATAAAAACTAAATTACAGAAAATGCTACTGAATTTATAATTATTATTTAGTATTTATATACAATTTAGAAAGAAAAATAAATAAACTATGTTGTGTAATTTTTAACTCATTTTGTACATTTAAATGCATTTGAGAGATATATAGACTAATTAATGTTTATGTTATTACATACTGCTTGAATTTCGAATAAGTCTGCAGCTGAAACTTCTGTTTATGAACAAAAACTTGCAGTTACTCTTAATAAATGATTATAAAATGCATTAAAATACCTACTATTTTATAATTAAAAACTATTTTCCTTTTTTCACATCTCTTTAGAAATATCTAATGCCTACAAAACAAGACATCATTTGATCTAGTTTTAGATATTTACCATTTTTAATCTTACATCAAGTTTTAAATGTTTAAATCCATATATACTCATGCTGTTTGTTGTATCTGCTTATTGGATACATATGCTTTAGAACAAATTGCGTTTTTAGTTTCCAACTCAACATAGTGAAATACAGAAATACAAACCCACTCGTTACTGACATTGTCACTGTACAATAATTATAACTAGAGATTAAATAGATGAGAGGAAAAAATCGTCCATGTCATTCTGGGGTGCCTTTATTGTTTATAGGTCATCTCTCAGAAATTTTTAGCTCACATCCTTGCCAGATAGATGTGTGGTTGTTGCATGCTGTTATGGCATCTCTTTCTGCTTGTCAAGAGTACTGCATCAGCTGACAAAATACTTTACATAGGCAAAAGGAATTTCCCACTTGTCCTCTTGCAACATAAAAGAATGAGCAAATTTTGTTGCAGTCACATTACTGCATGTAATAAGAAAACAGCATTTATCATTAAACTTAGAACAATTTATTATTATTTTGTAATTAAGATAAATACAATTTCCCTGCTTCAAAATTTACATTGTATTGTACATTTAATTTAAAAGAAGCATCCTTTCTACAAATTTGAAGCATGGGTGAAAATGAAGACCTGCTTTCAAAGGATCTAATTCAAAAATTCTAATTCTTTCTTTTGATTTTTCTGAAAAAGAAAAATTACTGAACAATGATAGACCTGAGCACAGTCACTTACTTCACGCTGCATTTGCAAAAACCTAAACTACAGTTTATGACATTAAAGAATTCTTTTTTTTTTTTTTTTTTTTTTTTTTTTTTGGCATGATCAGTTATTTTATTTTGAAAGAATAAATATGGACTAATGATGAATTGGGTAATTTTATTATGCTGTTGGTACTTATTTTTAGGCATGAAAATTATCACTGTAATCAGCATACAAATTCAGCCAAATACCAGTTGTGGTATTTGGCTGCAAAAATGTGGTATTTGGCTTTCAATTTTTGATTCAAATTTTATTCCAGCCGCAGCATACTGGAGCTCCAAATAAGGTGAGCTCTGGTACTTTATTTGAACAAGTAGATCACAGAATTAACAGATGATCATGTTTTTAATGCAACATTTAACAGTTAGTGTATGTGTTATTATGGCAAAGCCTAGAGGGCTATATGCCTAAGGGGAGGGATGCCTTCATGGAGGACTTTCTAAGGGAAACTTGCTCATATACACGTTACACATGGGGAAAACCACGAAAACGCCCATGCAGCCAGCCCGTTAGCGGGATTCGAACCTCGGACCGAACTACCAGTGTTCAGCGACTTTACCGCTCGGCCGCTGCTGAGTCCATTTAACGGTTAGTAAAACTCCTATTAATAATTAAGACACAAACCATATATATTTAGCTCCTATTAATACTATATACAAAATGCATGCTTTATTTTCCTTCACAGAAGCATAACACCTAGGAAAACATAAGGAACTGAGGAAACAAATATTCAATATCAAAATGGAATCCATCAGCAGGAGGAATTGATCAGAACAGCTTTAATCTGATTAGACAATCAAAGTAAATTTATATTTAATAAATTTATATTATTTAAGCAATTTTATATATTGAGTTGAAGAATATTGATCAAAATTCTTATCTGCTTTTATCCTCGATAACATATTTTATTACATTAAGTTACACACCTTCATTTGTTTTATTATTTCAATTAATTTTTATAACTTTATTTTAATTTACGAGTATTATTCACTTTATTATTCACTATCAATAGCTCAAACAATTTTTTATCAATTTATATTTTATTTCATTTCAAATACAAAATATTAAATGTCAGGAAAAAACAAATTGCTCCTTTCTTGAGAAATTTAGTAACTGTATGCTGCAAAATAGAGTAAAAATTAACACAAAACAAATGCGTGTTGTTCACATAATTTTCCATAGGAAAGAGGTACTATACAAATACATACTTGCTCTAGCTGCTTTGAAGCATATACTGAAATAAAGAATGGCGCCATCTCTATCTTAGAGATGAGGAGAGGAAAGAAAGAAAAAATTGTAGTTTTCTAAAAAAAAAACATCAGAACCGGTGTGCCAGAATTTTATAATTCATTGAAACACCAAGCAACAAAATTTAGGAATGGCAAAATTTTTGCAATTTAAGACTGGCACCGGACAGCAAAATTTATGAGTGGCAAAAATTATAGGCACTAGGCAGCAGAATTTAGGACCCACACAGATTACACTAGGCAGTATGTCCTGGCCCTGTGTATGGTGCACCGACAGAAACAAGATAAATCTTAAAGTGTAAATTTCAATTTCATTATTATTAAAAAAAAAAAAAAAATCCTTTCTATGGATACCAGCCCATGTGATAAAAGGCACACCAGCAGCCAAGCGGCAAAATCGCTGAACATTGGTATTTCCAACTTTGTGGTTTTTCCATGAGTAATGTGCATACGAGCCAGTTGCCCTTAGAAAGTCCTTCCTTTAAAAAATTCTTCCAAAAATGAGAAACTAATCACAAACCTTCCGTAAAACATAACTATTATGCATTAATATGATGAAGACATTTTTCATGTTGTCACATATTTTTAGGGAGGTTATGTCTATAAATCTTGCCTCATCTTTAAACTTTCCAAATTTCAATGTCTAAAGGGGAAAAAAAATTCCCAACCAATTGTATAAGAGCAAAAATCTTGAATGTTTTTTAAAACAAAATTCCAAAAAGAAAAGTGCAAAGTGAAACTTTCAAAGAAAACTGATAAACATTTAAATAACCTGAAACAATGATACAGGGAACACTCTTATGAAAAAATATGCAAGAGGACAAATGAAATTAATTTAAAAATAATTACATTAGCTTTCTGCTTTTAAGGAGTGTTTTGGAAGTTATTTTGGTTATAGCATTCATTATCTTGTGTATTTTTCAGAACTAAAATATCCCTAAGTAGCCAAAATGGTTTTATCACTTACAATTATTTTGGTTATAAGTGATATAACCATATATATCAAAATATGAGCTGGAAAAATGAAAATGTTTTATTTTAATATTATTCCTTAATTATAATTTTAATATATTGTCATTATTTTAACATATATCAATGTTATTTTATACGTAAAAATTAAAAATCATCCAAAAATAAGCAAATCTGGAATCAAAAATTTGTACAAACTGAGTACAAACTGATCTTAAAATTTTGGCAAATACTGGAGGAATTTAGCACCACATAACAAATGTATAAGTGAATATATATATTTTTTTGGATGTAATACGTTACGAACTTTTCATTCCCAAAAAGGAAATAATTTTAAAATACTTATGTTTCAATCAAGGTAGGACCTCGTACCCAAAAATTCAAGTATTCTGCTATTTATATTAGAAGAAGGAACAAATTATAGAGAAAACTCATCAAATACATATCTGCCAACGAATCACCAAAAAATATTCTTCCAAAATGTTAATTTATACTCAAATTGGCAGTCACAAAAAACAGACAGTAAGGGCAGATGAATAAAATTAAGGATCTTTCACTGATTTTGGCAGAAATTAAACAAACTTTTAAGGACTACATGAACTCTTACATATATTAACTATTATTGTTGTACTTTTTCTCTGCATTCCCCCCCCCCGAAAAAAAATTTATTTTTAAATTTAAGACCTGCCTTCTATTGAACAGCACGCATTGGATTATTTTCAAAGTTTCTCGATCTAGCTGTAAAAAAAGCGTGTAAGCAACATGATATGGTACATTTGGAAATACATAAACAATGGCGACATCCTGCGACAACATTTGTAACTGCACTCTACCTCATTTGCAGATGGACAAAAGAATTAACATCTGCAAAAATGAGGTACACTGTGAAAAAAAAAAAATTGGGACAGTTCTATATCTGCCATTCTACTGGGCAGATTGGCGAAATTCAACTTGCGTTTTTCATGTCTCAAAAGTGCGACTTAGTAGGATATGTATTAGATTTATACATAGCATTGTTCTAATGTAGGTATTTTGACACAAAATGATTTTCTGACATGACATGCCAATGTTTTTCCATATTTCGATTCTACGACTCAAATTATGCCAAACTGCTAAGTTTTGTAAATATCGCACAAATAGTTTTTAAAAAATTAGCTCTCAAAATTGTAGCTCCTTAATGTTAATTGAATTTGTTACATATTTATTAATATATCTTTTTTATTAAATTTACTTGATTCTTTCTTCCAGAATTCGAAATTAAGGATCATTCCAAATAAAATTCATCCATTTTTTATGCTTTATTTTTAAATAATTTTTATGAATTTTTCGAAAAAGAATTGAATTAAAACCCATGAAATTTTTACCATCACCTTAAAATAGATATACGAGGGCTGTTCAGAAAGTATCGAGACTGAATTTATTCCAGAAAACCTCTAGCGGTGGGATTGTGCGCGTCATGCACGCGCATGTTTCACAAAAACTGACAGGTCTGAACAGCACGCCGTTCAGTCACACTGACTTCTATCATGTGGAGTGTTTGTGTGTGTTCGCCGAAAACAGAAAATGTCTGAAAACACGGAGCAGCGAATCTGTATCAATTTTTGCTTTAAGCTCGGTAAAACGGGCACCGAAACCTGCGAGATGATGAAAACAGCAATTGGAGATGAGGCGATGAGTCGTGCTCTGGTTTTCGAGTGGTTCCGGCGATTCAAGGAGAGTTGGAAATCAGTGGGCAGTGATCCCCGTTCTGGACGCCCGTCCAACTCTCGCAATGAGAACAAGATTGCACAAGTGCAGGCTGTGGTGCGCTCTGATCATCATTTAACGGTCCGAGAAATTGCACAGGAGTGTGGCGTTTCCATAGGATCATGTGATGAAATTTTGAGAAAGGACTTGAACATGCGCCGAGTGTCTGCAAAGCTTGTGCCGCGTCTCCGCACTGAGGATCAGCAATTTTAACGACTGGCAATCTCATCTGATTTGTTTCAAAGTACAAGATAAGTGCGTTCAAAGTGTTCAAAGTGCGGATACAATCCCGAAACAAAGCAGCAGTCGTCCCAATGGAAAAGCCCCGGGTCTCCTCGGCCAAAGAAAGCATTGCAGGTGCGAAGCCAGATCAAAGTCATGTTGCTTGCGTTTTTCGATACAGATGGACTTGTTCATCATGAGTACGCTCCCCAGGGCCAGGCAGTGAACAAGAAATTCTACTTGGACGTCATGAGGAGATTAAGAGAGGCTGTTCGCAGAAAACGACCGGTGTTGTGGGCGTCCTCTCGCTGGATGCTTCATCATGACGGAGCCCCAGCGCATACCAGCAATCTTGTGAAACAGTTCCTGGCAAAACACGGAACAATCCAAGTAGCACAGCCTCCCTACTTGCTGGACATGTCACCTCCAGATTTCTTCCTCTTTCCCAATATCAAGAACACTTTAAAAAGACTCTCGATACCGGTTTCAAGACATTAGACCATAAAACAGAATTCGACGCAGCAGCTTCAGGCCACCCCAAAGTCGGAGTTCCAGAAATGTTTCAAGGAGTGGAAACATCGTTGGGCCAAGTGTGTTACTGCCAATGGAGCATATTTCGAAGGAGATTGACTCAAAACCTGTTTTGCATAACAAATTCAGTCTCGATACTTTCTGAACAGCCCTAGTATTTCTAAGCATATCTGCAAAAAATTAAAGTTTTTTATTCAAAATTTCCTAGGATATACGTAAATTTACAAATTGGCACGTTTTAAAATTTAGCATATTTGTTATAAGAGATAATAACACCAAATGTGGTTTATGCACTTTGTTAAAATTATTTGAAATAATGAACGATGATTTTTTTCCCAATCTTTTACAATGAAAAATAGGAAAGGAAAATAGGTGGCTAAAAATTAAGAAGTTCGCCAAGTGAATTATTCTTGGCACAAACTGGGAAAAAAAAAAAAAAAAAACAGCAAGATAAATTTTTGTAATTTCTCAGTAAATTTCGCACTAAATTTCACAAAATTTAATATTTAGGCATAATTTGGGCGAGAATCGAAATATGGGAAAGAAATTGACATATTATTTCAGAAAAAGTCCGATTTTGTGTCAAAATACCTACATTAGAACAATGCTATATATAAATCTAATAAATATCCTAAGTTGCGCTTTCGATACATGAAAAACGCAATTTGAATTTTGTCAATCGGCCCAGTAGACCGTGAGATATAAAACTGCCCCATTTTGTTTTTTGTGCAGTGTACAACACCTGAATAGGGCTTACAAAACAATAATAAATTGGAACAATTACGTGAGGTAAGTGTATTCATAAAGTTTTTAACAGAGCTTTCTGGCAAAATTGGAAAGCCTAACAAAATAGTAGAACACGACAAGTCTTTCTACATAGTGTAGAATTGAAGTGGGTCGAATAACGATTGTTTATTGAATGAAATAGTGCAAATAAAAAGGCTTTCTCGAAAATGGTAATTCTTAGTGCACTGAAATTTTGAAAATGGTTGTTACCTTTTGCTCATTAGCATTGCAAAAAATTAAGTTTTCAAAGAGCTCATAAGTGCTTGCCAATGGCACCACCAAGTTCATATATTTTTGGGCGGCATGGATAAAATATTAATACACAACATATTTAGTACATAATGTAATTGTAGTGCACTGAAACTTACTACTTTATACATATGGCCTTTAAAATATACACATAATTTTTACACTCTACATTACAGAATGTTGTTTTAAATCATAAAAAAATATGTAAGAAATTTTCATCATGTACTTCTTTGGTTAATTGCAATAATAGTCAACAGCTTCCTAATATTTATTCCCAAATCTCTCTCTGATAGCTTTCTTCCACAAATTTTACATCTTTCCGAAAGTGTTACCCCTCTTCACAACTAACTACACCTAAATTATTGGAAGAAAATCTGAAATGAGAATGACAATAAAAAAGTTTTAAAAAAATGGAGGGACTTTAAAGAATCCGAAGTAGCATAATTTCTCCAATTCCGATTTGGATTATCTAATGAACTTTACAATTATTCTAACCACATAACAGATATTTAAAAAAACATTATGCAGATATCCTCAAATGTCTGCATAATGTTGTACATAACTTTGGCTTAGGTATGAATAAGCTACACATACAATAGAACATATCTGGATTTCTTTCTTTCTTTTTCTTTTTTTTTTTCCTTAGCATTATTATCATTAGGAGGAGCACATGACAGTGAATAATATGCAATTTTTCTGAAACAATATAAACGTAGTCATGCACAGACATGTCTGATTTACTACAGTAATACTAAGCACAGCATCCCCACTTAACCATCCAAGTAGCTAAGCCATATAATCCAAGCATTGAAAAATATAGATCATGATACTTTTAAGTTCAGGCATGCACCTTCAAATGTGTCCAGGCAGTTAAGGAAGTATGGAGTTACAGGAAACCACAGAATGAGCAGCTGTTCCATCTGAAGGACTCAGATTTTTTTGCTTATTTAGTGGCTTTTATTAAAAAAAAATTTCTTTGGATACAAAATTTTAATATAGTGGTGATATAAATGTTATAGAGAATTTTTTACACTTTCACAAACAATGTTAAATTTTACACAGTTATTTCTGTGAAGTATAAAATTTTGTTACAGGTATAAAATAGATGTTATAAAAGATTTTGACACTAAAAATTTTGACAAATTAAAGTACTGTTGTAAAATATTGTTACGAAATGTAAAGGCGGGGTGAGATGGCTTCTCCGCAAAGCAGTTTTAGGGTTGCCATAAAATAACAAAGAATGTCAGGGATGCCACATTTGGCGAGAAATCGCCCATTTGGCGACATTTGGTGACAAAATTGGCGATATACCATGGACGGTTGGAGAACCTTCTGGAACGAATTCTTACCGTTTGCCGAGTGTTCCCGACCAGCCGAAAGCTATTATAAAACCGCTGCCGCAGTCAGTGAGGTGCTTCATCGAGAGGAAAGTGGCGTTTCATGAGTGAGTGTGTCTCGTCGAGCCATCCCTGCGGATGCGATTGCATTGACAGCCCCAGCGATGGAGTGGGTCGTGGAGTCCACCAAGGAGTCTGTTAGTGTATCGTGGTTAGTGCAACGCGAAGAGCATGTTGAGCTCCGGAAAGACTGAACCGAAGAGTCAGGAGCTGTGCCGTGTGTCGTCGAGTGCATCACAAGTTGAGCGTGGAGAGTCTCGAGAGTACGTGGGTTCCGAGATGACCAAGCGAGTCGAGAGTGTACTCAGAAAGCATAGTCGGCGCTTTGCAGGAAGCTGTCCACCGTGATAGCCTGATAACCTGAAGGCTGTGTCGCGATCGTGTCAGCGTAGTTCGTGCGTTTAAGATCTTGACGCTGTAAACGTTTTTTGGAATGTCCTGACAATACTGCAATAAGTGCGTTCGATACTTCATAAAATGTCGTCTTATTCACCCAATTACACGAAACCCGTAGAAGTGAGAAGGAAGTACGCACAACTGGGTCAAGAAAGAGAAATTACGTAACATTTTACGAGATAATGCGAGTTGTTAGTGGATTCTTTTGCAATAAGATCTGAGATTCTGAAGATTTTACAATTCTGAGAAAGTATTTTGCAAATTCTGAGAAAATTAAACAATTTAGAGAAATTATTTAATGGAATCAAATAATGTTACGAAATAACAATGACATTACTAAATAGCACACTAAATAATAAAGAAATATTAAACTATTAAAATAATGTTACAAAAGTAAAACTATTATCATTAAGATTACAAGCCACTTTTGTGACTGCTACTTACATTAATAACATTAATAGCTAAACAATTATAAATAAAAATGAGAATTGTACTGCTTTCAGACTGTCGCTTTTTATAGCAAGATAGTTCGTTAGAGTTCGAAGCTTCTGGTGAAGAGATTCATTTCTGAGAATCTGCTGAAACCATTCACAAGCATTGTTTGTTGAACAGGGCCAAAAATTTAGATCTTTGGTTATTTGACTCTGAAACAAGTAGTGAGAAAGTGTAAGGGTCATTTTAGAATTATAATCAAGAAAATATCACATACTCATAGCCTTTTTCGGAAATTCAGGATTTTGGAGCCAAATCCTTGGCTGTTTTTAACTGCCCCTAGATTAACTATGACCATTAACTCAGAATAACAGTTAATCTAAGGGTACTTATGTCCATATATTTTTGCTGCAATCTCGTACGGTCCCTATAACAGAATTGTACCAAATAACATAATCTGATAGTCCAAGAATCATGAGAACTCCAAGTAAATTCGCTACTCTGACTCATTTTCAGCATTATTTAAATAATAGAAGCCATAATAATAATACAGATTTTTAACTTAGTGGGATTTTCTCTTGCTTTGCCTTTTCCTCACACAAAAACTAGACATAAAGGATGAAGTTAATTTTTAATAATTTAGACAACAGACCATGAATCAAAACCAATTTCCAAAATACATCCCCACAATTGGTCTATATTCATCAATATCACACTTTCATGAAATGCTGTTTATATTGACATACAGCTTCATTCGATGAGAATTAGTACATTGAAAGTTAGCTGGGCTCTGTCTGACACAGTTAGTGTCGTAGCTTCGTGTAGAGCTCCAGGCAGGGCTGTGGAGCCGGTAGGGAAAATGACCGACTCTTGGAATTTTAATATTTACTCCGAATCTTGATTCCAACTTCGACTCCGACTCCTTCATATATATGTAAACATATATGCATGGGTACAGCTTATTTTTTTAATATAAAAAAAGGAATAGATGCTACAGAAAAAAACTGATGCATAGCAAATTTTTTATATTAATTAGCATTTATTATGAAATGGAAAAATGGCATTAGTAATTCTAAGAAACAGTAGAGCTTCAGCAAGATCTTTGTTGGAGGGCAATAGATCTGATTTGATAAATTTCAGGGCTGAAAAGAGTTTCCACACTAACTTGAGTAGGAGGAAGAGCTGTTACTGTTAGAGGTA